ATTTATTACACGGCGTGCTGCGGTGAAAAGCCTTCTCTAACGTTTGAGTCTAAGGTTTATTTTTTAGCACCTAGCGGCTCTTTTTTAATTCTCATCCGTAAATAATCTGCTCTTTCACGTGATTCAGTTTATTTTGAAAAGTCTCAACAGGATCTTCAGCTTTATTGTGAAAGGTTTATGTGGAACATAAACAAGCGGAAACGCGATGCTGTTACCGTCGTTGCTGCTAACCACAACGCATAAAAACAGGCGCTTGTCCGTCAGTAGTGTGGTTATTTAAAATATAAGAGAAAGAGAGAACTTTAAAGCCACTACAGTGACCATCAAAACGATGAAAAAATATTGCCGTAAACAGTTTATTTTGCGACACCACGAAACAAACGATAGATGTTTTTATATCGTCATCTGATATATATTGTTATATCGAACAGCCCTATATAATAATATTAAATCTGAGCAAAATCAGTAATTCCATAAATAAGTTGACAAGAGGCGTAAATAGGTAAAATAAAACAGCAGAGTAACAATTATAACGGGTGCACTGGACGCCTGCATGAATATGATCAGATGTTATTTAGTGGCAATCGGCGAGTTAGCCAGATAAACATAATTGAAAATGCTAATGCAAGACTGACTGCACGTTCATGTATGGACTTGCTGCAGTTATTTCTGTCTCAGTGTGCATTTTGGCTGCTGAATAAAAACATCTTTAAATATTTTGAGGCTGGATATGCAAATAGAAGTCCATGGGCAAAAATGCAGGAAGACATAAACCTTAAAATATAAGTGCAGATACGGTATACAGATAGTGTTTCACCTATCCGGTCATAAAAAAAGCTCCATCCATAAATCCGTCAGGTTTTATTAGATACCCAAAAGCAAAAGGTATGTCAGACTAAGGGCTGTGTATTGATAGCAGAGAGCAACGGGGGAGCTGCTGGGTCTGGCTGAAAATGGTCTCTTCCTGTTTTTACTCAGAGACGATAAAGTCATAAAAAGGTTGGTCTTGTCGGTTCCTTCCTACACAGACACACACACCTACGTGCACACACGCACGAACACCTACACACACGCAAACATACCTACACACACACACACACACACACACACACACACACACACACACACACACACACACACACACACACACAC